GGGGGGGGGCGGGGGTTGCAAAACAGTAACCCAGTTGCAGCCACGGTATTGCAGGGTACCTGTAAAAATTGCAAGCACTGTTATAATGTTGAGAGTGAAGTTTGCCATTAATATTTATTTAAAAATCAGCAGGAAAGAAGAAGTTTGGTAACTCTGGGGGCAGTTGGCCCCCATTGTTGAAGAAGGTGGTTGGTCAACATTCTCCAATGGCTTAAGCCGGCTTAAATATCTTGGTGGTTTTCGTCCTGGTTGATCGTCCGTACGCCTCCATGAATAGTACTGTTTAATTGGCCACTATATACTCAGAAGGCGCGCTTTTTTACTGAGTCATCCCCCACAAGAAGGCGGCTAATTGATCCCTGCAAGGTCCAGGAGTATGATTCCGGGAATTGCGTTAACTTTGGCGCTTCTTCCCCACAGGGAGATTAATTCTAAAACAATGGCCGCGAATTTTCCAAAGGTATTGTCCATTTTAGATTCTCCGGTAGAATGCAAGTACAGCACTGCAAAGAATGGTCCAACAATAAAGGAATATAATGGCTCGACATTTTCAGTATATTTAATATGAATTTTTCACCAGAAAAAATGATATAATTTAGATGGAATTTACCCAAGGAACATAACCTTCAATTCATGAGAATTTGCCCAAATTAAGTATCTAGGCATTTGAAATCTCCAACAAGTTTATTGTGTATATGCAGAGACATATTCTGCTTGGGCTACTTTTCCGGGCAGATTTCTGAGAGAACAAACATTTTCCATTTAGAAAACATCACTTGGAGTACAATAAAACAACCAGCAGGTATTTCCTCTGCTTACTGGATGACTTCTTCATTATCCTCACATTATAAACACGAACAAAAGCCACCCATGATTTCGGAGCAATTGAATATTTCCCACCCCTGGAACATAAACTTTTCCCTAGAAATTCCGTAGCCAGTTGAGGAATTTCTGCAGAAAAGTTACCAGCATCTGGATTTTAGTTGGTGCAGCAGTTGTAGTCATAGGGGTGTCTCCAGCCATTCCAGTGCTGTATCCAATTGTTGTTGGCCTAGTGGTAGAGCCGTACCCCATGCAGCTGTCGGTGAACTGGCACACGAAGGAAGCATGTGCCTCAAAACTCATGCTGCTGGCAACCATTGCCTTGGCATTCGAACCCGAATATGTTTTCAATCCAACCAATGCTGCACAAACCCTAGGCATTAATTACTGATGCCCTCTCGGTATATTAGGGACGTTGCAATTATAAACAAGTTTTATAGGTACCGTATATATTCTTTCTTCATCTTAAAGTTTTCAACTCGAAACTACGCGCAGGACGTCATTCAGGAAAAATGCATCAAAACTCATTATTGAAATACAGTATTCATGATAGAATCTTTTTTTTTAAAAGGTGCTCATATTATTACTTTGCAGAAAATATGCTGTTCAAGTATCATGTAATCTGGGGAAGAAAGGTGAGGGAAAAATTGAAATTATATATGCAGTATAAGCTATAAGCTGTTACTAGAGACGTTATATACGTTTTAATACGTCACTCTGGGAGTGTACGTCTGTGGAGTTGTACAACTACTAAGTTGTATCCCTGTAAATAAAAAATTACTTCTTCCGTATTTTTCCAGAATGTACGTCTGACTGACTCAACATGCAGATATTGCATGACAAAATTGCAAGTGAGTTGCAGAAAAAATTCCTTTTATCAGGCTGAATTGTAGGAAACATATATTTCCAACCCTAAAATCTACCCAAGAAAAATTCTTGGATAAATTTCCCATCAGTTTCCATCCATTAAGCTCAATTAAAAATGTTTTTACCTCCAGCATAGAAGGACTTCCATCTCTCTTTGTGACTTTGTCATTTTTGCCATTTCCAAAAAAAATGTTTTGATTGAGTTGAAAGATATTCAGTGAATCATTTTCAATAAGCAACATTTTTTCATGGAATTCTGATGAATATTTCCTTCTTGATATGCCAATTAGAAATTATGTAATGTAATTGTACACAGGAAGACAAGACTTGACTAAGGGACATTTCAACTCAGGGATACTCTTTTGATGCACCAATCACCTCTGCATCTTGGGGTCTCACTTCATATATTAATGTATCATATTTTTGTTTCTGTAACAAAGGAAGAAAAGAAAAAAAAAAAGAAAAAATCTCTCCTGAAATTTCAACTAGCTGGACTTATTCAAAAGGCTAATTTCGTTTTTCATTACTTCGTCATTTTTGTTTGCTGCGCTTAGATTGACCAATTGGAAGCAGAGTGACCATTCCAGGCTTAGGAGGAAAAACTGCTTGCAGAGCTGGTCTGTTTGGCAAAAATCCCTTACATGGGAGGTCTGTTAGGCGGGGGCCACTGTATTCCATTGAAGCTCAGTTTGTTCTGAGTGCAATAGTAATTTTGGTGTCACGTTTTTCTTAAATTTATATAATCGCACAACATGCAAACTTTATGATCCTCAAATAAGATTCACCAAAGGTGGTATGTAAAATGATATTTCTTATATTTCTCAGAAATTTATAGAAATAGATTGAAAGAAGAAATCCAATGTCCCATTTATCTTAAAACTCTCAGCATTCCCATCACATGGGTAGGGTTAGGTAATAGGTAAGCAGATTGGTTCTAGATACAAATTACCTGAAGTTATCCTCATGCATCTCAAGAAAATCCCAGCCTTTCTTACTCAAGCACCAACAATTTGGACAAGCTTGTTATGAGCTGTTCTCTCTTATTCTTTCAGTCTTTCATCAGGTAGGAAATCACTTTGTATGCAAGCGTTTCCTGCAAGGGTTTTACCATCACCCATCAATGGGCTGCGGCAAGACCTTGAATTGATGTTGCATAAACCTGTGCCTTGAGTTAATTAAGGGATATGGCTCATCAAAATTGAGGGTTTTTGCATATTGACGCTTGATAATCACATTTTCTTCAAAGGCTCCTCATTATTATAGAACACTATATTGTGGGGGCTTGGTTCATTTGTTTGATCAGGAGTAAGCTCCTGGTCCACCAGAACCTGCAGCACATGAAGCTCTTCAGCATAGTTCTTTTTCTTTATGTGCTGTTCTTCTTTGAGAGGTTTTGATAAAAGCATTAGCAATGTGTGGTCTATTGCCGGTACCGGCACTACCAGGTCAACCACGCAGGTTG